GTTCATTGAATCGGCATTTGAGGCCTTCGAGTTACAATCACACGAATTCCTCGTCATCACGGGATTCGAAAGCGAGGTCTGCAAAGCGTATGCTAAAAAATTAGGCCTCAAATTACCGGTCTCCATCAACCCCGAAATTGGACAAAAAAGTTTGATTGCGACTGTCCTACGGGGCACACTCGGCTTGTCCTCCATGGACCGATCAAGATCAACATCAAAGCAAGCTCTTTTAGCTGAACGGTAGGTAGACTGATCGGCAATTAATGGGAATAGCTTAATTTATACATGTGCACTCACTTGGTGGACGCGCCTGAAGATTTTCTCCACACAGCGGGCAGGGTTGTTTGCCGCAGCAATAACGGTGATATGGAAGTCGATCACGTTGAAACCACCAATCAGCAGGGTCAGTTGGTTGGCGAGACAGACCACAGGGAACAGCGTCGTTTGACGTCAAACGCCACCGTGGTTGTTTGCGGTTGCCATCTAACACCAGAGGCTTGTTGTCCTGTGCACTAGTTGAATTTTGACGCAACATCAGCTCGCTTTGTACAATCAGACGCTTCATGCACACGGCAGCCTTACGCGGATACAGCAGCTTCAGTTAGTCAACCAACCGATCAAGTTGCTTGTGCAAATGCTCTATTGTTGATGGATCTGGCTTTGGAACCAGAGATAAAGGCACTCCTTCCTCCGGTAAGTTATATTCGGCAAGCCACCTCTGATGGATTGGAAATTGACCTAGACACTGCATGTCCGATCAATCAACTTACCGCATGGGAACGAGTGGCCTCTGAATCCTGAAAATAGGTGTACACAAGGCAGCCACATTGATTGGTAAAATATGCACGTGCAGGTTCCGGCCGAGGTGTTTACTGTGTGAGAACATTTGGGGGTTTGTACCACAAACTGACTGTTACTAACAACGGGCTTCTCACCTTGAAGCGATCTGTCTGCTTGTATAACAGATTTGGCGTGCATATTCCAATGCACGCCTGAGAACCTGATTAACGGCGTATGTCGTAAACCGGGAAACCACACGTAGAACGTAGATGTCTCCCTCCCGAATTTCTCGACGGTCACAACAATAAGTGGTGTGCATTTCATATTCCCGCATTAGCCATTCGCTGTGATGAGCGACCTTCAGAACGGCATGCTCCAGGCAATCTGAGTGATGCACGCGCCTTTTCAAACGCCCGTTAGCGTTCTCCAGGCAACTGTTGGTCACATTTCCAAAATGCACCAACCCACGTTGTGCATGAACGGCCCACTTTCGAGTGATGTAGAGCCAGTGGGTAGTCAAATAAGAGACAAAACTGGGATCTGTTCGCCTCAAGATTTGCAAATTGTGGCGAAATCTACGGGATTAGTGTTTGGTGCACAGTCACTTTCTCAGCTGCATTATCAGAGCGAGCCATGCGGTGGAATATGTGTCGACTGTGGTTGGTAATTGTCTGCAAAAGTTACACCAGAGCTATGAAACATACGTGCTTTCGGATGTCTTGCAGTGCGTGAAAATAGCACAGCATTACGTCGCAGTCAAATACAGCTTTGGCAGCCCGCTTCTGTGAAGTCATTTTGTCCATGACGAACGTTTTGGCTGCATATTGTCCACCCACCATATCCTTGAACAAGCTGAACAGCTTGCGCAATGGCGCAAAATGCTCGCTTTCGACAAAGGCATACATTACGGGTCGACCGATCTCCATGCCATCTGTCACAAGGAATCTATAAAGCTTGTAACTTAACAGCGAACGTCAGTAGCTCGAAATTTATTTACCCAAGACGGTTAGCATCGTGTGTAGCATCAATGTTTACAACGTCCGGGAAACGTCTAAAGAGTGCTATCTGCTGCGTTGGAGAAAAGCACAGGTGACTATAAATGCCACCCTCCGATTCCACCAGCAGAACGCGACCGCACTCTCGAATCTTGGCTATGATGGATGACATGTCATCTAAGAAACCGACTAAAAGGTAACCAACGACCTACTCAACAATGGGGGTCAACTTTTGACTGGGTAGTTACGCACATCCTTGATAGTGAGTACTCTTCCAAAGCGGTCGGCGACGTACTGCCGGATCTCCGATGACGGAGCAACGTATTTCAAAAGGGTAGAACACTCCTTCAGTTCATCATTTGTCAGTCGCCGGTTCATGGGGAACCTGTCAAAATTAAACTTCCTGCGTGGATGGTTGTGCTCCAGGTAGTAGGAAGTAACCCTCAAGCAGTCATGATACCGGCTAACGTGGAACCTTGCCGGACAATCAGTACGACGCGTGCTACCGCGTACACAAAATCAACCATGAACTTACTAGGTGCGACGAATTCCACGGCTTCTGCTTCGTCTGCAGGGATGTCTGCTGCAACGGTAGAAGGCTTCTTCATACAAAAGTAGCGAATTGGTGCTCTTTCTGAAGTCTATACGGACGAAAACAACGAAATGTTTCGTCTGGTACTCTTTCAAAGCGACTTGAAATGCATTGAATGAGAAAAAACGTTGACAAGCTAAATTCTCCACAAAATCATCCTCCGCATTCACGTGCTCAGCCATAGCAGCCATTTAAAATGTGAATATTCCGGGTCTTGAGTATCATGGGGATTGAGTCGGTTTAAACAACTTTCAACAAAACTGCGGCCGTTTGGGAAGATTTCATACGCCCGAAAAATTACCATCAAATGTTAAAGCTTTATGTTAAAGTTGTCCTCCCTCGAACCACGGTTTCAGAGAAATTTTCGGCGTGCTTCTAGCCGCCGGCCTCGTTTACTCTACCGAGTCTGGATGAGGTTAATTCGCTTGTCAGCGTAGGTTATGCATGCTATCCGGTCTTGTGGAGAATGGATCACTTGTTGAGTCGGTTACCGTGGTCAGGTTTGATCGTTACCTCTCGCCCCTAAAATACCAACCATGCACTTTCTGGAAACTCCAACCGCCTAAAAGAGTAGTTTTGCGGTTATATGATGGCCTTGTAATATTATATGTAATTTTATATGCATAAATTTTATATAATGTAATATAATAATACATGTATAATAGGACACACCGTGGTTAGCCGGCGGTTATCCGGACTGTCAGAGCAAACACAACAAAAACCATTTATTGTGATAATCTTTAGGTTGAAATACCTGTTGTAGATAGCATTCGACTACTGAATAATCACCTGACAACCAGCGAATATCCGCAGTCGGCGGTCGCCGGTCCGTTAAGTAGCGCTCATTCAGCTTATTCTTTTGATATCAAACAACGGAGCTATAACCACCGTACAAACGAATTTCGCCATTATTAGGCTGTTATTCAAAATCTCAACCTGCGACGATTATCAGATAACAATCTCACAGCCACTTCCGCTTGAAGTGACTCCAAGAATATCTCCTGGTGATACTCCTACTAAACCACTGCCAAACAATTGTCTAATAACTTCATCTCTCCTTGCCCATATGTAAAATGTTCATTCGACTCTCGGGTAACTGAATTTTGCGATCAAATGTCTGCAAAATATCTCTTTGCAGCTTGTAAACATGTTTTCCCTGATAAAAGGCATCAACAAAATTGTGATTCAACCATCTTTCTCCGTACCTTTACGGTTAAGTGTGGGGACCTTCGAGTCGGTTTCCACGATCCAGGCGCGGTAAACAAATATTTACACGACACCACAAGCCTGAATTCTGGCCATCTGTGTGGATGAAGGTTCAACAAACACGGCACATGATACCTCATCCGACTTAAGTGCCGGACAGCAGTATCTTCAGTGGTGGTTGGTGTACAGTAAAGTCTGCTCATACTGGCGCGATCGTAGATATTACGGCATCTCATGGACTACTGGCTACGATGCTGCTAGAGCTTCGTTCCTTGCGGGCTACGCAAGCGAGTAGTCTGTGCTTGGGTCGAATCTCTTCCGGCGTCTACTGGAAGGTGGAGATTATTGAAGAACTTCTGGAATTGCCTTGCAGTGTTTGCTTACGGTTGCGTATTGGTCAGTGAATACATACGGAATTTCAAGGCGTCGCGTGACGTTCAGCTTTCAAAACCACGTGCAATGAGACTTCACTTTCCTACCCGATATCTTGTAACTGGTTAGTTGGTGTTTGCTCACGAAAAATTTTGAAGCGAGGGGTTTTCTTTCGTGGGTAGCAATTAAGGAATTGATTTCACAAAAAAGAGTCCGAAGCATTTTTCGGACAAACAGCCGTGTTACGGAACTTACAAATCCGGCCCTTTGGTTTGTTGCAGGTCTCCTTAACAGCAACAAATCAGCAACGTGGTTGAGTAATGGCTAAAGCTGTTGCTGTTGCTCAACTCGGTATCTACCGATAGTTTTATTCGCACGCGTATTTCAAGCAGTCGGCACTGACCGTTCTTGAACCGCATTTGGATTTCCTTCTCCAAGTCCTGCCCTGTTCATGCTCAGCAGGGATCATCTTTGAAAAGATAGTTGTAGCGCGCCATTGTAGGAATGGTTGGTATAAGAACCCATCATGGTGCAACGCGAAAGGAAAACCCTCCATGCAAGACGTATCCGACCACCGCAAGAGGTTTTCATTACTCGTGCACGTTACCAGAGCTTTGCAGTGGAAAACCACCGGGTAGTCATAAATGCGGCCCGTACATTAACAAAGTGCTTCATCTACCAGTTATTTTTTCCGGTTTTGGTTTAGACCTCCTCTAACCCGTTCTTCATGCCGATGTGTTGTCACCTGTTTTCGCTTTCACGATAATGCATAAACCATCTGAATGTATAGGCAAGTGCGACGACCAACCCTGCTAATATCTAAATTCTCGGATAATTGTCTATCTTGAACCTGTAAGTTTTGCTTTATCTGATTATCTAGGGGACAATTACCTTTCAACTCACAGCCAAGCAGCATACATCGTTACAATACCACCGCTCTGTTCTTTAAGCTGCACGCTTATATACATTTATTCCATGTTTTAAAATTTTTTCAGCCATATATCCCCTCCGCGCACTCTGAGTTCGGCGACGCAAAAGACAGCTCAGTTGTCAACTCCCTTCAACTGCTTGTCTTTCCCCAGAAGTCTACCGTTCCTTACCTTTGTTGCAACATTTTCTCGGGAAGTTTCCATGAATCCAAACCATCTGTCACAGCAGAGTGAAAGTTGTTATTCCGCGTAAGTTAAGTGATAAGTTAATCTCTCAGGCATAACTCGTATGCCGGATCTGCAACGTTATCCCTAGACAGGAGCTGTGCCATGCCGAGGCAACCTCACCGACCAAACATGCGAAACGACCGCGCATTTATTGCTTCTCTTCTCCGTACACTATTTTAACCACTAATTCCTCATAAGTAAATCAACTTCCGAAATCAGGCAACACCTCACTCTGCGCAGAACCTCATAGAAGAAAGCCATCCACATTTCTAGCCAGCATGCTAGTGTTTACTGTAACCACTAACTGATAACTTGTTTTTCTCTGAATCTCCATCATTCAGTCAGTTTATAAGCATTACCCAGTCCTCCCAAAATGTGCTTGTGGAGGCTTTCCAACCCAAACTTCACCCTATCACGCTCTAATATATTTATAATCATAACTCCTCAAATGTCTGTTGGTTAACCGCTCGATTCTGCGAGCTAGCTATAAAGACGAGTACGCCTCAGCCACGATTTTGCTACTCGTCTTTTCATATATCGGCATTTCCTAACTAGACGGTTTAACACC